TTGGCTAGTCATATCCGCAACATAAAACAGACAAGCCGAGGGGTTGCTGACATAGATCTCTTGTGACTTGGCTAAGTCATGCGAAAAATAGAGATAATAATTGTCAACTTAACCAGAAAGAAACTTTTCGCGATAATAATAACATGGCCATGTATTTTATAAAGACTTTATTATTTCAACTTAAAAGAGGAAAGTAGCTATTGGCGGAGTTTGTTCTTTTTTTTATTTTTTATTAATGGCATATAATACATTCAAATTACCAGGGTAAGCAAGGCACAGGTTTATAGAAAATGTGTAAACGTTGTGTAATCAGATCTCAAATACATAAATCTGAAAAACAGAATGTAAAACAAAATATCTGTTAAAACTACACAAAGGCAAAGAGACAGACAGATGGACACGTTGATAGATGGATAGATGGATGATCAGATAGATCGATAGATAAATCAATAGATTGTTAGATATAAATATGGTCAGATAGATATATAGATAGAGATATGGTCAGATAGATCGTTAGATAGATCGTTAGATAGATCAATAGATCGATAGATCGTTAGAAACATATATGATCAGATAGATATATAGATTGAGCGATGATCCGATGAATGGATAGAAGTATTATTAGATAGATAGACAGACAGATAGATGGATAGATAGATGGATAGATATATGATCAGATAGATAGATAAATGGATATATATATGATCAGATGGATAGATAGATAAATGGATAGATATATGATCAGATAGATAGATAGATATATGATCAGATAGATAGATAGATAAATGTATAGATATATGATCAGATAGATAGATAGATAAATGGATAGATATATGATCAGATAGATAGATAGATAGATAAATAAATGGATATATATATGATCAGATAGATAGATAAATGGATAGATATATGATCAGATAGATAGATAAATGGATATATATATATGATCAGATAGATAGATAGATAAATGGATAGATATATGATCAGATAGATAGATAAATGGATAGATATATGATCAGATAGATAGATAGATAAATGGATAGATATATGATCAGATAGATAGATAAATGGATAGATATATGATCAGATATATAGGTAGATAAATGGATAGATATATGATCAGATAGATAGATAGATAAATGGATAGATATATGATCAGATAGATAGATAGATGGATAGATAGATAAATGGATAGATATATGATCAGATAGATAGATAAATGGATAGATATATGATCAGATGGATAGATAGATAAATGGATAGATATATGATCAGATAGATAGATAGATAAATGGATAGATATATGATCAGATGGATAGATAGATAAATGGATAGATATATGATCAGATAGATGGATAGATAGATAAATGGATAGATATATGATCAGATAGATAGATAAATGGATAGATATATGATCAGATAGATGGATAGATAGATAAATGGATAGATATATGATCAGATGGATGGAAGGATAGATAGATTTGATCAGAAAAGGGTTTTAGTTCAAATTGATCCAGTGATATTCCATCTCAGCTGTTCCTGATTACATCTTCACCTCTAGCTAATGTGTGTCCATTGTTTGGCCTTGTTCCAGGTGCCATGCAGTTTGTTAAAGATCCTTTTACATATTCCTAGTTTTTTGTGGTTTTGTTTCTCTGAGCAGTCGGAAGTTGGGTCACATCTGACTTTTCTGACTTTCTATAGGTATTGCAGCTGGCAGCAGTATTTCCTGTGTTTTTTCCACTCTCCTGTTATCACACCAATGCCACCTTTGTTTTTGCTGACGTTTCGGATGTGTTATCATCTGTAAGCGTTGCCCAGGTAGTCTACATTAACCTTGGCTTTCTAATTGCACAATGACCAGTTTCACAGTGCATAGCAACAAGATCTTCTTTCATTCTCATCTTGACAAAGTAACAACGTGTCCAGTGACCTCGATCTTGTGAATCATGGACTCAGTGTGAAAATTATTTGGAGTTTTGTGACTGTGTCTTTCTTGCATGATTAAAGCCTCCTGAGGGCACAGTCATCACATGTAATGTGCTAATAACGCCAATCTCACCAATTATCCCATAGCACAGCCTTCATAGTGCCTCTCTAGGTATATGGTAGGCTGGCACGCGACCAAGTCCTTGTACCTGTGGACATCGCCAACATGTCTAACGATGTGCTTGTACTGCCAGGTCTGTGGTGTCCCCGGATTCAGGACCACATCAAGACAAGACCAGGACCCCAAAATGTCGTTTGTCCTGCCTAGATGGGGACTGTTAGGGACCCTGGCTAAAAATATCTGTGATTTCCTTGTGGGTTCTCCACGATTCCCAATTTACTGGCTAAACTTGTTTATTTGTTTGGGTTATCTTTCTGGAATGTAGTAACAGCACGTCATTGTAGCCTTGTTTGAGCTATCGCCATTGAATAATCTCAATGTTTATTAAAACCAATTTCATCTTACAAATTACAAGGACATTGAGGGTTAATAAGAACTGCTGAGCAGCAGACACCTTGCGACACGTGACGATGACACTTTGGCTTTCTGCATCTTGAAGACATGGGAACATAGCTTAACGCTCCCACTGACTCTTTATTAACACAATAATAGCAGCCTCGGCGATCTATTATGGCACCTTTATAGTTAAGTAGGTTCCTTACTGTTATTAGATTTTCACCATTTTAATGCGAGTTTGTGTAAATATATTATTTTTTTTATTTTTTTGCCAAAAATGAATACAAATTGTATGAGCTCTCTAATTCCTGGTCACGCAGTGGGATATTGCGCAGACATGGAATAGACAAACTCCCGCCTTTTGGGTTTTTATTCACTAAAAGGGGAATTGTCAGAAATTCAGAGAACTTCAGATTTCAGACCAAACTCGTCAAATTGGAAACATTGCACAATGTGTCTCTTCTATTCCTGGAAATTCACTTTTTAATTAACTACCTCATTATAGTTTATCCTCTTTAAAGCAAATTCCATTTCCGGCAACTCGCTGTTTTCTGGGGTTTTTTGCTGTCTTTATTTTGACTGATATTAGGAGGGCAAAAAAATCTGTGAGGGTTTTCGATGTTATAAAGGGGTTACATTAATTATAACATTATTATAGACAACGCTTATTAGAACATGCTCGTATATTTATATTTCCTGAGTTTTGGTTTACATCATACAAATGTCCCTGTTTAGGAGGGACAATCAATATTTCGGTCCCAAATGCTTCTTTTCTCTCCTAATGCCCCACTTTTCTAGATGCTCCATATTGTTGGTGTGTCTGAGTGTATCACAGAGCTCCACAGCAATAATACTCCCAGTAATGTGTCTGAGTGTATAACAGAGCTCCACAGCAATAATACTCCCAGTAATGTGTCTGAGTGCATAACAGAGCTCCACAGCAATAATACTCCCAGTAATGTGTCTGAGTGTATAACAGAGCTCCACAGCAATGTGTACTCCCAGTAATGTGTCTGAGTGAATAACAGAGCTCCACAGCAATAATACTCCCAGTAATGTGTCTGAGTGTATAACAGAGCTCCACAGCAATAATACTCCCAGTAATGTGTGAGTGTATCACAGAGCTCCACAGTAATAATACTCCCAGTAATGTGTCTGAGTGTATAACAGAGCTCCACAGCAATAATACTCCCAGTAATGTGTCTGAGTCTATAACAGACAGAGCAATAATACTCCCAGTAATGTGTCACAGCTCCACAGCAATAATACTCCCAGTAATGTGTGAGTGTATCACAGAGCTCCACAGTAATAATACTCCCAGTAATGTGTCTGAGTGTATAACAGATTCACAGCAATGATACTCCCAGTAATGTGTCTGAGTGTATAACTGAGCTCCACAGTAATAATACTCCTAGTAACGTGTCTGAGTGTATAACAGAGCTCCACAGCAATAATACTCCCAGTAATGTGTCTGAGTGCATAACAGAGCTCCCCAGCAATAATACTCCCAGTAATGTGTCTGAGCGTATAACAGCTACACAGCAATAATACTCCCAGTAATGTGTCTGGGCGTATAACAGAGCCCCACAGCAATAATACTCCCAGTAATGTGTCTGAGTGTATAACAGAGCTCCACAGCAATAATATTCCCAGTAATGTGTCTGAGTGTATAACAGAGCCACACAGCAATAATACTCCCAGTAATGTGTCTGAGTTTATAGCAGAGCTCCACAGCAATAATACTCCCAGTAATGTGTCTGAGTGTATAACAGAGCTCCACAGCAATAATACTCCCAGTAATGTGTCTGAGTGTATAACAGAGCTTCACAGCAATAATACTCCCAGTAATGTGTCTTTAAACTACAATAAACGTGTTTAGAAATCAGTCTGTGTAAATAATATTGTTCTGCTTCTAATTTACATTTTAGCTCTATAAATCATTAGTGAGCCAGAACACACCCCCACTCACACTCAGCACAGCCCCGCCAAGGACACACCCCCACTCACACTCAGCACAGCCCTGCCAATTGTAACTCCTCCGCTATAACTGTGTAACGGTATAGCTCAGCCAATCAGAATGCAGCTATATATAAGCTCATTGTCAGTGACCAGAAATGGGACAGATAAAAAGCCACTAATGGTGGCATCCGGTTATCTATAAAACACAGACTTCCTGAAACAATAAAACCTTTACATTATGTGTGAAATGATCGAAACATGACTGTCTTTCAGTTAAAACGATACTGCCTCTCCGATGATATACCGCATACAATATTACTATTATATAATTATTATCACTATTGCTTATAGAGTGACAATATTTAAAAAAGGTTGCGTAAATTGAGATTAGCAAATAATACAAAGTTCCTGAGGTTATGTATTAAGCGAGGACCCTATACGCGAGTACAACCTGATTTATTAATGATATTAAGAACAAACTGTCACCTGTCATTCCTTTCCATCACCTGTGGGTAGAGATGTCGTGAACCGTTCGCGAACTTCCCGCGAACGGCTCGCCACGGTTCGCCACGAACCGTTCGCGGCGAGCTCCGGTCAGCTGACACATCCCGGCCAATCAGCAGCAGACTCTCCCTCCCAGACCCTCCCACCTCCTGGACAGCATCCATGTTGAAGCTGCCTTGAACATGGATGCTATCCAGGAGGTGGGAGGGTCTGGGAGGGAGGGTCTGCTGGAGATTGGCCGGGATGTGTCAGCTGACCGGAGCTCGCCACGAACGGTTCGTGGCGAACCGTGGCGAGCCGTTCGCGGGAAGTTCGCGAACGGTTCGCGTCATCTCTACCTGTGGGACATGGTAAAATATGTTCCAGATTATTTACACGTATAATAAATACAAATCCTGCAGGAGAGTTAGCTTTATCTCAATAACAAAGCAAACGTCTTTTGTTATACAATGCTGCTACGCTATCAATATATCAGCCGGTAGATATAATGAGCTACCAACAGACTGTTCCAGCTAATTAATAAAACTAATAAGGCTAGCTTATTTTGGTCTCTCACAATGTAATTAATTTGAATAGCTGCAGTAAAAATCCCTTAACCAAGTAATGATTTGTGTAAATATCTCCCAAGGAACCTGTCATAAAACCAGTTATTCATTGGGTACCGACAATTGTTTGTGACATGTGTGTTCTTCTAATCAAGAGGCTGAAACTTTGCAATTAGTGAAGTGGTTTTCTTTTCCTTTTTTTAGGCACATAAACTAAATTTGAATGATTCCGCAGGCTCCCCAATATGCGTCGCTGAGGTAAGTGTTTGAAAATAAACCTGGCTCATAGAAACATGGCTATTATTCGAGGGCTTTTTTTATCTTCCATTTTGTTTCATAGTTTTAATTCAGATTTATATTAAACATCTGTTGGGAAAGCAGTTCACTATTGTAAAATTTCCCATGATTCACTGAGTGCCACAATGTTTCTTCACACATTGTGTCAGTGTCTCTATTGACTTCATTTCTTAAACTGAAATTGTGGTGAATTGCAAACTTTACACCAAAATACCTACACTGGAACAATTTTTAGTTGTGGGTTATATTTGTAGTTGGGCTTTTTCAGTCTATTTATAATTCTCCCAGTTAAGCGAATAGCTACTTCTTTGTTAACACCTTTATGTTAACACCTTCATGTACCTGAGGAAGAGTCTTGTTAACAACACGCCATTGTTGCCTACATTTTGCTGTGAATAAGGCATCAAGCGTCAGATACATCTGTAAACGAACACGGACTCAAACACTAAGCAAGTCTAAAGCATTTGTACCTCATGTATTTACAATAAGACAAGAAAATTATCATATTCCAATTCATGTCTCCGATGAGTATTTAAAGGGACACTATAGGCACCCAGATCACGTCATTGAAGTAGTCCGGGTGCAGTGTCCCATTTCTCTTAGTCCTGCAATGTAACTCATTTTTTAGAGAAACTGTAATGCTTACATTGAAAAGGTCAAGACTGCCTCTAGTAACTGTCTAGCAGAGAGTGCCTCCTTCAGTTTACGGAGTTTAACTCCATGATACGACGCTTGATGGCCTCACACTATGCATGAGGACATCCACCGTCAAGAAAACCCCCATGTTGCCTGACCCAGCACCAAGAAAACGGTGTTGGTGTCTAAAGGGTTAATTAACCTTTACTTGATGGAGGCAACACAGGGACAGAGTGTTGCTATAGTGTTAGGAATACAGCTTTGAGTTCCTTTAACCACAGTTTTCATGGTTACTGAGAAGTTTTTTGGGGAGTTTATTATCTTTAGTTAAATGATTTCCATAGTGTCTTTTATTATTTGAGGGTTTTTAGAAATATTCATCCCTTGGTATTCCTTTTGCACAATATGACATCATCTGTAATTTGCTGATGAAGCCCTTTGTCACCGCTTAGCAAATAATCCCGTAGCTGCACTAATTGTTACATTTTCATTTGTTAAGTGACAATGTCACGTAATCCTGTTTCTCGTGTGACAAAAATAGCTTAATTTATACAATTAAAGAAACGTTAGAATTAAAATGGCAAATATTGATGAAATGTTGTTACACATGTATTAACAAGTTTACGTACTTTCTGTATTTTTTTACTAGCATTCTCTGGGGAAAGACAACATGGTGGGAAGATCGTCCAGTAATCACATATCCACGGATAACTCTTCTGGATATCACTCCAGACTCTGCGCAACGCTTTCCATAATGGTGGCCGCACATTCCATGCTCCTAGCATTGCGTGCTATTCTGACATTATAAACGACTTAAGTCCGTGGACCTGTACAAAAAAGTATATATATATATATAAGATTGATATTAGTCACTTTCCTACCTTCTCTTGTCCATCTGAAATGTTGCCATTCCAGAAATGACCAAACTGTTCTGAAACCCAACGAAGTTTAAACCAAATGCTTCTGTGCTATTAAGGGCGCTGTGTATATTATCGCTACAGTGCTGGGCATGAAGTATTAGAAAGCGGAGATGAAATGTACATTTGTTTAATGACAAACAGGTTATAATTTTGGTCCGTGTCGATACAGAAAAGGGAACCTCTCCACTTCCTATTTATAGCAAGTTTTTTTTTGTAATTATTATTATTAATATGTTTATTTTCAACCTCAGATTAAACTCAACCTTCAATGGGACCTATCGTAGATATGTTGTTAAAAGCATCATGTTCGTTCCCTTCTGAGCAGTGGTTGGTTGTGTTTTCTAGATCTCTTCTCTTCTGTTCAGTGTTTTATTTTGTCTCTGATATTGCTCTGTGTTCTGCAGTCAACTCTCATATCCATCAGAAACTCTCTTTTCTATGAGCTCTAGTAAGCGAAAAATAAATGGCAAATTCTTGAAAATGTCGCCTCGCTAAAGGATGACGCACATTTCTAAAGTGTCACAACAAAGTGGCAAAAAATAAGTTTGTTCAAAATGCTGAAGAAATGTATATAGGAAATCACAGATGTAAAGCGAAGATGTGACCAGACCATTGGCTTTTGAAGTCAAGTAAAGAAATGGATTGGATCTTCTCCAGCACAAATTCTAATAAACGTTGCAGCTGTTTTTTACAGCTGGGGAACCTCTTTAGAAGAACAGATACATTATCACAATGGCTGCAGTGAAACCCGTCAAGTGTTTGAGGAACTAGAGAGGGAGAGACAGAACTGGATGGGATGGCCACGGCCCCATGTCCTGCGGCTCCACTAAAAATATCTATGGATTGCTCTCTGCAGTGACTTGTTGCGAATGTTACATTTTATTTGCAAAATTAAGACAAAAAAAAAAAGAAAAATCTCCTACACAATGTTTTAATTAGCAAAAATGCTGTAATTACTTGATACATAAAATCCATTGCTATCTGTACATTAAAACATGATTCTAATCTCATTTCCCAAATGAATGAATCAGCCACTCACTGCCACTCGATGTGGGAAATACGAATTGTTTGTATTCACCTTAAAACTAGGAATTTTGAAGCTTTGCAATTCACATATTCTCTCTGATTTCATGTTGCTGTTGGTGAGGTTTTGAGAGTTGGCGCAGGACGGGCGATTGTGTGAAGCCTCCTCCCATAATCCTCTGCAGTCTTTATCTGGCTGAAGCTTAGGGCAGATGCTTTAAGGACTCGATAAGGGGACAGGTTCAGCTTGTCCCATGATGTAATGGGCAAATATATTCACCATTCTGTCATAGAAACAACAAGCCATGCCAGGTATCCTCACAGTATGAAGACAATAGATTGAAGGATAATTGTATGATAATGTCACATATTGCATGGCTGTAACATCGGTACTGCTTCATTTCCCATGGTGCTCAGACAGTTGTTTGTAATTGGCAAACTTGGGCAATGCAGAGGTTGGCTATTACTGTAAAGAAACGTTTAATACAAAGTCCAAGATTAATCAAGGTACTGTGCTCTGAAACGTGGTGCAAAGTTCTAGAAATGGAGCACTCCCCAATGGTATATGTCGGTGATTGAACAGGTTTCCAGGGTGATTGAATCAGTTTCTGTGATGATTGCCCCTTTGGTTTCCAGGGTAATGGAATCGGTTACCATGGTGATTGCCCCTTTGGTTTCCAGGGTGATGGAATCGGTTACCATGGTGATTGCACTTAGAACTTTCCATAATATAAATCTCTCCGTGTATTCGTGTGGTTTTTTTAGGTATGTTTGCCACTCCATGAGCACAACACATCTTACAAATCGAAATCAGCCGTTTAGTTATTTTCTGACACTGTCTGGCAAACTATCATTAGTTAATTTAACCAGATCAGAGCCACAGCCCTATTTATACCTCAGGCACCCAGTCCTCAACAGTGATTTCAAATAAATGGCACATAAATCAATGCAGTGAATGGAATGTCTGCACACTGTGTACAGAGTATTAATAAAAGGTGGTGGCGTTTGGCAATATGACTGGTATATATATAAAATTAGGCAAGCCACTCCTCCTGCGACCGCCACCTGATAAGGGCCTGTTGGAAATCCTGTACTAAGCTTTCATCAGATAGGTGATTATTACAAAGGATTACAGTATTCTACCTTTACAAAATAAGATGCATTGCTCTTATGTAAATTCTCACCAAATTAACAAATATAACTGAAACTGATCATTATTTTGGTAAAAGCACCGGTTTTAGAATCTCTAGAACTTATTCGAACCTCAGGGTGATCTGTCTGATTCCCAGGAGGGATGACGCAGCTGTACTCTACCCCTTCTGAGGTCAATATGATGAGTACTGCTGAGTATTCCAAGACCTGCTTCCTGATACAATGCTTTATTGTTACTTTAAGTAATGTGTTTAACTTAATCATACTAAGGATATGGTGGCAGAATAATCTAAAGAGTTTGAAGCCAGATTGTCAATCAATGTGTCCTAACGCTGCGTAAAATGGAATGCGAGGATCTGTGAACTTAGAGATTATACAAGATTTTAGATCAATTTAATAGTATAACCAGGATTTATGGCTTTTAATAGGTGGAGAAACAAGTGAAAATCATAAAATGAAAGTTATTGGTAGCTATGGGCCAGGAGTTCCATTAACAGCCGCAGTAATCACAGTCTGAGTGGATTTATTTACTTAACATGATGCGTTGACAATAAACTTGAAGAATAGCTAATATGGAATAAAAATCATTAATTCAGCCAACTTGGATATTTTCACCTAAATGTGCAAGTTATTTGTAAATTAACCATGTGATGAATGAGTTTGTGTGACACGTGTACTGCATATATGCACAGATTGCTACACGTTAGGATCATACCTTCTAACTGTCCCGAGGTTCTGGTTCGGTCCCTACTGAATCCATGAGGTGAATTCCTACATTATTGATCAGCTTTCCTCTTATGTTTTGACATCAGCAACAATGTGTAAAACTTAAAAATGTCTACATGCAAAGAGCAAGAGTGGACGTGAATGTAAAAAGAGATTTGAGCTATATATTACCATTCTACGTCTGCCAACTGCCAAGGTGGTCACTGCAGACTGATGTGCATTCGTCATCCCCTGCTGCTACAAGAGACGTATGCAGCATCCTATACCCCGCATTATGCCGCATGCTAAGCACCATTGGATAATGCATACGTTATTAACAATGTTATATTATCCAGAGCTTAATAACCAATCAATAATTAAATTGTTACACAGTAGGTTATAGAGCAAAACAGATAGATCATTCTAAAGGTAGAACATAGGTTGCAGTGAATTATAGAGTTAACAAGAAAATAAAGTACATTTGACAGAACAGAATCAGATTCGGTTTAATTTCTCCCGAGGTAGGTACTATTAGGAAGTAGGTACGACCCTTCATTCTGCCGGGGTAATGTACGTACTAAAGTCGTATACCGGCCAAGGAGAGCCTTCTCGTTCACACGTTTGATGGAATCCTGGGAGGCTTATTATTACAATTCTGTTCTTAGCGTTGGATTCGCCGTTTAATCTCTGAATCTTGTAGAAACAAGCTGGGGATATCTGGATACAGGACTGCACATTTCAAAAGTCATTTATAATTGTAATGATTTGTAAGAACCTTTGGCATTTCATGTCTTCACACACAAGGCTGCCATCAGCCCCTACACAGCTCAAGGTCTGGTACCCTGAGGTTCGCCCCCGAGTCAGTCCATAGACCACCTTAAAGGGAAACTCCAGTGCCAGGAAAACAATCTGTTTTCCTGGCACTGCAAGTACCCTCTCCCTCCCACCTCCCATCCCAGGTAGCTGAAGAGGTGAAAACCCCTTCAGGTCACTTACCTGAGACCCCGCCGATGTCCCTCGGCGGTGGTTTCGGGTCGGCGTCGCTTCTCCCAGTAATTACGTCAGCCGGTGGGCGAGACTGATCCGCGCATTAGGTCTCCCCATAGGAAAGCATTGAAAATTATTTTCAGTGCTTTCCTATGGGGAATTGAGCGACGCTGGAGGTCCTCACACAGCGTGAGGACTTCCAGCGACGCTCTAGCAAAGAAAATCTTTGCTATGAAGCAGGAAGTGCCCTCTAGTGGCTGTCTAGTAGACCGCTACTAGAGGTGGAGTTAACCCTGCAATGTAATTATTGCAGTTTATAAAAAACTGCAATAATTAAACTTGCAGGGTTAAGAGTAGTGGGAGTTGGCACCCAGACCACTCCAATGAGCAGAAGTGGTCTGGGTGCCTGGAGTGTCCCTGTAAGACCACCCACAAGGATGCAGTGTGTGCAGATTGGAGACAGAGTGTGTGTTTGTGTGTTTAGTAGATGTAGTGTGTGTGTAGTGGATACAGTTTGCATACTGCATGCAGTGTGTGTAGTGGATACAGTGTGTAAAGTGCATGCAGTGTGTGTGTATGTGTGTGTAGTGGATACAGTGTGTAGAGTGCATGTGATGTGTTTGTGTAGTGGGTTCAGCAAGTGTGTGTATAGTAGATGTAGTGTGTGCATTAGATCTAGTGTGAGAATGCAGTATGCGGGTAGTGGATGTTGTGTGTGTATAGTGCATGCAGTATGTTTACATTACATGCAGTGTGTGTGTAGTGGGTACAGTCTGTAGTGGATGCAGTGTGTGTCTGTGTAGGAGATGCAGTGTTTGAATTGTGGATTCAGTGTTTGTGTGTGTAATGTGTTTATCTAGTGAATGCATTGAATTTATGTAGTGGATGCAGTGTGTGTGTGTGTGTTTGTGTAGAGATACAGTCTGTGTTTGTTTAGTGAATTTGGTGTGTGTGTTTGCGTAGTAGATGCAATGTGTGTTTAGTGGATTCAGTGTATGTGTATGTGTGGTAAATGCATTGTGTGTGTTTGTTTAGTGGATTAAAGTGTGTGTTTAGTAGATGTAGTGTGTGTTTGTGTAGTAGATGCAGTGTGTGTGTTTGTTTAGTAGATGTAGTGTGTGTGTGTTTGTGTAGTAGATGCAGTGTGTGTGTGTTTATGTAGTAGATGCAGTGTGTGTGTGTTTGTGTAGTAGATGTAGTTTGTTTAGTGGGTGCAGTGTGTGTAAATATGTGTGGTAGGATAGGGGCTGCATTATGTGGACAACAAGCTATTTTTTTTAAAATTCTATATTTTATTCCCCCTCCAGGGCTCTTACCTGTGGCTAGGTGTAGGGCATTGTGCAGACGTCCAGCTGCATGTCTAGTGCATAGGTGGCACAGCTTCTGGTAGGTCCTCTACCTCCCTTGCGAGCCCGGCATGCATGCCTCATGGAGTGTTACCACGGCAACCTGCGGCAACACTCTGGCAGCTGGAGCCTGAGCTCGTACCTGTCTACACGTATTACAGAGACACGTATATACCAAGACTGGTGCTGCCAAACATGTTAATACATAGTTTATTTATCTTATTTAGCCATAGATTCATCAGGGTCTTTTACAAAGGACAGATTTTCAGATAACCTGAAATCAATGATCAGCAGTCATTATGGCCAATCATAATCCTAGAAATGTTCCATTTGTATCTCCTTCCAATTAATAACGTCCTAACGATGCAACATTCTGATAGCAGAGGTGAAGTTTGGCTGGAGAAGCAAATGACGGAATGGGCCCACTCAGGGCTCAGTTTGTGAATGGTCAGGGTAGGCAGCTGCCTATTGGTATCTCTATAACATTGGCGCACGCACTAGCACTACAAATATACATTGTATTATTTAATATCCGCTTCCTCTGGCTATATGGAGCAGTATACCTGTACTTAGAATGGTAGGAAATAATGAGGAGGGATTGGCTCTACCGTAATACGTGGACTGACTGTCTCTTTGTAGCAGCCTTCATTCATCTCCGTCACCTGCCGCACTCCCAACAATCCACGGCTCTGCACGACATTCATGTTTATACGCTTTATTTGCTAAACAGTGATTAATGGTGAACTGGACACTGATTTTTTAAATTCAAACTGATATATATTAGTCACTCGAGAAGAGTCGGACAGTCTTTCTGTGTGAACTATTTTTTGCTAGTCTTGCCAATTTAGTTTTCAGTTTGCTGCAATGTCCTGTTTTGTATAGCGCTTCATGATAACGGACATGTGGGCGGCGCTCGGCTAAGCTGGGATAAATGTAGGCATCTCGCACTAACAGGAAGGACTGGTAATCAGCTCTATTTCAGAATCATTTTACAGTTGTAAAAAACGTAAACTAGAGGACAAAATGTCAACTGCAAACCATTTGATCAGAAGTGAAAAAAACTAAAATTGCCTATTTAAATAATAGACATAAAGTTAGTCGTTCTCCAAATCTCTCTTTATTTATAATATTAGTGATGATCGCAATGATGATGTTATTTACTTTTAATAAAACTGTAAAAAAAAAAAAAAAAGAAATGAGTAGAATCTTATTCCCCAATTGAGAGGAGCCTATTACAGGATCTTTATATATCAAGAGCAATTCTGGAACAAAGGTCTAAAAGTGGAGCAGTCTCCGTGGAAACTGAGGGAATGTTACTGATAATATCTGCACTTTTAGATTGTTACCCCAGAATAGCTCTTTATAAATAATGTTCCACAATTAAGCACATTTTAATTATAAAAAACATGCACGTACTGGAAGTTGCAACTAATTAAATCAGCATGCCCTGGGTTATACTCTCAATAATAATGATGGTGTAGGCACAATTCTGTCATCAAAATGATATGTTTGGGGGTTTTTTTTTGGTTTTTTTTAATTACTGCCCATCAAGGCTCATTAGCAACAGCTTTTAGTTAATTCGCTAAACAGTTCACATTTTTGATGTTTGTAGTTGAATTTAAAATATTTACTGGGAAAATAATTAAAAAGCAAAAGATGATCGACAAATTAAAAAGAAAAAAAATCCATATTTTCTATAACAGGCCTCAAAATAAATGTAATTCATGGGCATCAGATCTAATCAAATCTTGGGCGGCATCCATTACTAAGAAAATATGATGCCCGTTTTACCGAGAGAAGATGCATTAAAACATGCGGTCATTGGGAAGACTGGAAGAAGCAGCCATGTGTCAGGGGAGCTTTTAGATATTTTTGGGCTTCTGTGTCCCAGGTGCGAGGTGAGGTAAAATATTATTGTATCAATACAGAGTTTGAAAAAAATGGGCTATGATTCCGCAAAGTTATTTAAACTGTAAGAAATGGGCTTTTCCTCACAATAAAAATAAATTTAAAAAAGACAGTTCTTTAGCCAACTGAAAGAGAAATTAAAACATTTTGCTTTTTTTTGTAGTTTTTTTTTTTTTTTACATTTTGCATAAACAGTAAACCATAACCACCCGGTATAACTAACTAACACAGTGCACCTAGCTCGCTGTAGTGGTTACCGCAGGTAGTTTGACTCCTAACAATGGGAGGGGTGCGGCCTCACTCCTTGCACCATAACCACTACATCATGTGGTACTGGGAGTGTTCCTTTAAATATACTTATAAAAATATGTAAAACAATCATAATTTCAAAATGAGAACTTTTAAAAATAGACAAATATATAACAAAGTAAATATCTTATTATGCCAACAAGTTAACAGATCTGCCTGATGTTGAAGAAGTGAGAACCAATTAATAGTCTAAATTAGCATGCGTAGTCCTAAAACCGCTCGTCCTCCATGTTGCTATTTATAATATCTAGCACTATATGACTGGCAGGCTGTTTCTTTTGTTGTCCTTTCCACAGTGTAACAAAAAAAAACCACAAACGATATACAATTACTGCAGCAGGCAATTAAACGTAGACTCTAATTGGTATTCAAATCATTAGCAGCAGATAATAGTCCATCTGAAACTGATGGCATTCAAAGGTAATTAAAAAAAAATCAGCACATTAGTGTTTGCTGAAAGCACATGTGGCATTTAACCTATCATCAGCTGGTGAGGACTGTCTGACAGCCTACTCCGGTGCTGGTAGTACACCCTCCACTCACGTGGGAATAACGCTGCTTAACGGTCAAACTTTGTCTTTTAATGGAGGCGCTTATTAAAGGAACACTACAAGTTTGTTCTAGTGTTTATGGTGCCACGAGGTTCCCTTGCCCCCCTCCTCTCCCATGTAAGGAGTTAAACTGTTGTTGAATGGCATGATTTTCTACTTGGGATCCGCTAGCTACCTCTCCCTGTCTACCAACGTTGTGGATCCATGAGTTCTTTAGCAGGAACGTACCGAGCTAAGTCCTGCACAGCGTTAAATGCATCACTTTGATTTTTTTCTTAGAACATGTAAGGATTGTATTGAGAGTCTGTATGTTTTTCTGTTGTTTGCAATTCTGCCTGTTTGACTAAGTTAAGTTGTTATTAAAAAGTGACGAGACTGGCAGATTAATACAAAGAAAAACTCTCCAAAGGCAACTGAAACGGTTTTGCATTTATGTTTATAAAATTGGCAAATATTAAAAAAAAACACATTTTAAAGTATTAAATTTGCAGCGTTGTCTGCCTCAGCTGAAACATAACACACGCTGGGTTTAATTTCCTTTCCCAGATTGGAATTGTATCTCACTGAGAGCAAGGCAGAAGCCTCCATTTTCTGGCAGAGGAAGTTCCGATTTCTCTAAATTACAGATTGTTTGGCAATCGTCAGCTAAACTACACAACTAAATACGTCAGCGATTCTTATAGTACATCCAGCATATTACAGCAGAAATTAAAGGAGCACTATAGTGTCAGGAATACAAACCATTTAGGTGTCTACCCCGCCCTTCCCCTCCCCGAGAAAGGTATTTTACTTACCCTTCTCCAGCGGGTCTCCTCCCGGCTAGCCCCGCCCATGCTCTGCCTCCTTGGCTGACATCATCAATTTTGATGATCTCCACCAATTCAATGCTTTCCCATAAGCACTGCAAAATGCTGCATGGAGCCATTTATAAGGTATTTTCCTGGCACACATATACATGTATAGGGTATTTTACAGGCACACATAAAAATGTATAGGGTATTTTATCGGTATTTGAGGCCTCCTGGCCGGTGCCGGTATTGTAATAATACCGGCAATACAAATGCCGGTATTTTTCTCAGAATAAACTGAGATTAGATGCAATACTGGCACCGGCCAGTAGGGGTTGCTGTGTGTATGTGGAGAGAGACAGGGTTAGGAAGTTACAGTATCCCCCATCCTGCCTCTCTCTACTCACTGATCTGCGGGGGAGGAGCTCTGCCCAGAGACATGGGGACACTGGGGGAGACACAGAGACATGGGGACACAGAGACATGGGGACACTGGGGGACACACAGAGACATGGGGGCACTGGGGGACACAGATATATGGGGACACTGGGGGACACAGAGACATGGGGACACTGGGACACACACAGAGATATGGGGACACTGGGGGACACAGATATATGGGGGCACTGGGGGAGACACAGAGACATGGGGACACTGGGGGACACAGAGGCATGGGGACACTGGGGAACACAGAAACATGGGGACACTGGGAGAGACACAGAGATATGGGGGCACTGGAGAAGACACACAGACATGGGGACACAGACATGGGGACACTGGGGAAGACATGGGGACACTGGGGGAGACAGAGACATGGGAATACTGGGGGAGACACAGAGACATGGGGACAAAGGGGCACACAGAAACATGGGGACACAGGGGCACACAGAGACATGGGGACACTGGGGGAGACACAGAAACCAGGGACACGGGGGGACATAGAGATATGGGGACACTGGGGGAGACACAAAGACATGGGGACACTGGGGGAGACAGAGATATGGGGACACTGGGAGAAACAGAGACATGTGGACACAGATATATGGGGACATTGGAGGACACACAAAGACATGGGGACACTGGGGGAGACACAGATATATGGGTACACTGAGGGAGACACAGAGACATGGTGACACTGGAGGAGAAACAGCGACATGGGGACAAAGGGGCACACAGAGACATGGGGACACGGGCACACAGAGACATGGGGACACTGGGGGGAAACAGAGACATCGGGACACTGGGGGAGACACAGAGACACTGGGGAGACACAGAAACATGGGGACACTGGGGACAAAGAGATATGGGGACACTGGGGGAGACACAAAGACATGGGGACACTGGGGGAGACACAGAGATATGGGGTCACTGGGGGAGACACAGAGACATGGGTACACAGATATATGGGGACACTGTGGGAGACACAAAGACATGGGGACACTCGGGGAGACACAGATATTTGGGGACACTGGGGGATACACATAGACATGGGGACACTGGGGGACACAGAGACATGGGGACACTGGGGGACACACAGAGATATGGGGACACTGGGGGACACAGAGACATGGGGACACTGGGACACACACAGAGATATGGGGACACTGGGGGACACAGATATATGGGGGCACTGGGGGAGACACAGAGACATGGGGACACTGGGGGACACAGAGGCATGGGGACACTGGGGAACACAGAAACATGGGGACACTGGGAGAGACACAGAGATATGGGGGCACTGGGGAAGACACACAGACATGGGGACACAGACATGGGGACACTGGGGAAGACATGGGGACACTGGGGGAGACAGAGACATGGGAATACTGGGGGAGACACAGAGACATGGGGACAAAGGGGCACACAGAAACATGGGGACACAGGGGCACACAGAGACATGGGGACACTGGGGGAGACACAGAAACCAGGGACACGGGGGGACATAGAGATATGGGGACACTGGGGGAGACACAAAGACATGGGGACACTGGGGGAGACAGAGATATGGGGACACTGGGAGAAACAGAGACATGTGGACACAGATATATGGGGACATTGGGGGACACACAAAGACATGGGGACACTGGGGGAGACACAGATATATGGGTACACTGAGGGAGACACAGAGACATGGTGACACTGGAGGAGAAACAGCGACATGGGGACAAAGGGGCACACAGAGACATGGGGACACGGGCACACAGAGACATGGGGACACTGGGGGAAACAGAGACATCGGGACACTGGGGGAGACACAGAGACACTGGGGAGACACAGAAACATGGGGACACTGGGGACAAAGAGATATGGGGACACTGGGGGAGACACAAAGACATGGGGACACTGGGGGAGACACAGAGATATGGGGACACTGGGGGAGACACAGAGACATGGGTACACAGATATATGGGGACACTGGGGGAGACACAGATATTTGGGGACACTGGGGGATACACATAGACATGGGGACACTGGGGGACACAGAGACATGGGGACACTGGGGGAGACACAGAGATATGGGGACACTGGGGAAGACACAGAGTCATAGAAACATAGAATGTGACGGCAGGTAAGAACTATTTGGCCGATCTAGTCTGCCCAATTTTCTAAATACTTTAATTAGTCCCTGGCCTTATCTTATAGTTAGGATAGCCTTATGCCTATTCCACGCATGCTTAAACTCCTTTACTATGTTAACCTCTACCACTTCAACTGGAAGGCTATTCCATGCATCCACTACCCTCTCAGTAAAGTAATACTTCCTGATATTATTTGTAAACCTTTGCCCCTCTAATTTAAGACTATGTCCTCTTGTTGTGTTAGTTTTTCTTCTTTTCAATATATTCTCCTCCTTCACTGTGTTGATTCCCTTTATATATTTAAATGTTTCTATCATATCCCCCCGTCTCGTCTTTCCTCCAAGCTACACATGTTAAGTTCCTTTAACCTTTCCTGGTAAGTTTTATTCTGCAATCCATGAACCAGTTTAGTAGCCCTTCTCTGAACTTTCTCTAAAGTATCAATATTCTTCTGGAGATACAGTCTCCAGTACTGCGTACAATACTCCAAGTGAGGTCTTACCAGTGTTCTGTACAATGGCATGAGCATTTCCTGCTGCTCTATTACATTGTCTGCCTACCTTTAAGTCATCAGAAATAATCACCCCTAAATTCCTTTCCTCGGATGTTGAGGTATTTGGACTCTATCAAATATTCTGTACTCTGCCCTTGGGTTTTTACGTCCAAGATGCATTATCTTGCACTTATCCACATTAAATGTCAGTTGCTAGAACTCTGACCATTTTTCTAGTTTACCTAAATCCTTTGCCATTTGGCTTATCCCTCCTGGAACATCAACCCTGTTACATATCTTAGTATCATCAGCAAAAAGACATACCTTACCATCAAGACCTTCTGCAATATCACCATTAAAAATATCCAATGGAGAATGGATCCAAGTACAGATATCTGAGGTACCCCACTGGTGACAAGCCCATGCTCCGAATATACTCCATTGCCTGTCACTCAGCCACTAAGCCTTACCCATTCAACAATATCCCTGGAATCCAAACTTAAAGATCCATTATATGATAAAGCCTTCTATATGCAGCAGTGTCAAAAGCCTTACTGAAATCTAGGTAAGCAATGTCTACTGCACCACCCTGATCTATGAACAAAAATATTTTAGTTACCCAATCAAAAAAATCAATAAGATTAGTTTGGCACTTGATCTCCCTGAAGTAAATGCCCTATGTTGTCTCTGATCTTGAAATCCATGTGTTTTTAGATGTTCAATTCAACTCAACATTAAACCACACTGTTTCCATCCTAAACTTTCCCCCTGATATACTGAGTAGTAAGGACTTATCCCTGGGTGCTCCGGGCACAAGCAGCTATTTTGGTTTTCCAGTTCACATCAGGAAGATTAAAGTCACCCATGATGATAACGTTCCCCTTCATTGTCATTTTAGCTATTTCCTCAACTAGTAGATTATCTAACTCTTCGATTTGTCCTGGGGGCCTATAAATCACACCTACATGAGTTACCAAATTCTAACGTAACCCAAACGGACTCTATGTTCACCCAGGGCTGCCATCAGAAATTTTAGGGCCCCTGACACAGCTCAAGATCTGGGCCCCCGGGGGCCAGCCCTGAGTCCGCCCACAAGGATGAAGTGTGTGTGTATAGTGGATATAGAATGTGTGTTATGGATGCAGTGTGTATAGTGGATGTAGAATGTGTGTAGTGGATGCGGCATGTGTGTCATGGATGCAGTATGTGTGTCATGGATGCAGTGTGTATAGTGGATGTAGATTGTATGTTTTTGTGAGATCGCATTCCCTGGTGGTCCGGTGGCATGGTGGAGGTAGCCAGCCGCGGTACATTGAAGAGAGGGCCCAGCAGCACACACTGTCTACCTTTCCAGCTCCTCTCTGACTAACTCTCACGAGACAGACCAGTGTGCTGTGCGGAATGTTGCCATGGTAAGTCATGTCAACGCTATGGCGGCTGCAAGGCGCAGGAAAGTTAGACAGAGAGCAGCTGGAAAGGAGGACAGAGTGTCCTCTTCAATGTACAGGTAGCAGGGGGCCCTCTGTGCACATATATATAGCGAAAACCGCTCTCTATATATATATATATATTTGCACATAAGGAATGTGGGGCTCGGACTGCCAGAGTAGTTCGGGCCTCCCCAGGACCACCGGGCCCATGACAACCGGTTGTCATGCCCTGATGGCAGCCCTGTGTTCACCTCACTAACTTTTATTAGGCTAGATATTATGCTATCCTTCACATACAGGGCCACATCTCCCCCTTTCTTGCCTTTCCTGTCTTTTCTATATAAAGAGTATTGGTATTGCTATGTCCCAGTAATTTTTCTCATTATACCATGTCTCAGTAACAGCAACTAAATCTATATTATCAGTTGCCATTATTGCCACAAGTTCATGGATCTTATTCCCTAAACTGCAAGCATTTGTAGGCATGACTCTAAGCTTATCATTTTTTAACACACTTGCTACAGGCACTTTCTGTCCTTGGAGACACTGTGAGACACTAGGAGACACAGACATGGAGACACTGGGGGATCAGAGACACATAGACTGGGAGACACAGAGACATGGGGACACATGTGGGCACACAGCATGGGAACACTGGGGCACACAGCGACATGGGACATCTTTTCATTTTTTTTACCCTTTTCCCATTCAGGAGTACTTTATACGAACAATATCCATTCATCTCTTGAACGAGGACCTGATGGCAGCCCTGTGTTCACCTCACTAACTTTTATTAGGCTAGATATTATGCTATCCTTCACATACAGGGCCACATCTCCCCCTTTCTTGCCTTTCCTGTCTTTTCTATATAAAGAGTATTGGTATTGCTATGTCCCAGTAATTTTTCTCATTATACCATGTCTCAGTGCTATATTATCAGTTGCCATTATTGCCACAAGTTCATGGATCTTATTCCCTAAACTGCAAGCATTTGTAGGCATGACTCTAAGCTTATCATTTTTTAACACACTTGCTACAGGCACTTTCTGTCCTTGGAGACACTGTGAGACACTAGGAGACACAGACATGGAGACACTGGGGGATCAGAGACACATAGACTGGGAGACACAGAGACATGGGGACACTGTGGGCACACAGAAACATGGGAACACTGGGGCACACAGCGACATGGGACATCTTTTCATTTTTTTTACCCTTTTCCCATTCAGGAGTACTTTATACGAACAATATCCATTCATCTCTTGAACGAGGACCACCCCTTTACCCCATAAGAACATTCACACCAGCGACTAAGTGCAAAACCGCAAGGAAAGTAATTAGTGAATGCTACCCCATCGTGGCTCCATTTCGTATAACCTAACGCACGTGGTCGACAAAAGAATGACGACCATCTTGTCTCCAAAACATGGGAAGCGGTACTTGGTCATCTAGTGCCTTGAACTCTTTTCAGTTAGGCACTTGCACGAACGCCGCAAAAATTTAGACCGTTGCCTATACGTGGTTTCCCGAGCACCTATACGAACGACGCTCGGGAGATACGAACTACCAAACAGGGGGAGCTTTCTTATCCCGAAATGAAGAGTTTCCCTTGCATGGTGTTCGCACAGGAACCCACAAACAGAGTCCGGGCCAGGTCACCTATTTCCCTGGAACTGTTTTGGGCTAGCACCTCGGATCTGGCAGGTCAAAACTTTACCTTGATGGCATTTCTGTTTCACCGAACCAATCTAAATGATCTTTGGATATGTTATACACTCAGATCAGGGCTATCTGGGTATGTACTTTTTGTAGGGTTCCTGTGTATGGTGGGGACACTTTTGGGGTACTGTATATTTTGTAGGGATTTTCTGTACCTGAGAGAAAATTTAATTATATGTTTTTCTCATGCAATTATCTCTCAGGTACATAGGGTCTTGGGATTGAAAACCCTGTATTTGTGTATTGGAAACCCTATGTAGGGGTCTGTGTGTGCCCTGAATCAAATCAGGACTATGTTTTGGCTGGTTTCTGGGGGAATGGTTGTCTGCTTATTTTAATGGGTCCAGGGTGGCTGAGGGAAGGAATTAACTGAGTTAACCGGTCAGGTTACCCGTGGTCTGCTACAGCGTTGTTTTGATACTGCTCCAATAAATCTGCCTACTGGATTGAACTTGGGTGTCTGAATCATCATTACTTTTTTTGCAAATCACATTGTGAGGATTGGCCAACCTCAGGCCCGGTTGCACCCTGGGATCCAGGAGAGTGCGGTATCCATATTGGTAATTATACTGGGAGACCTGGAGACACTAAGAGACACTATGGGACACAGACACTAGGGGAGAGTAAGAGACACATGAGGACACTGGGAGACCTGGGGACACTGGAGACACATGGGGGGACACTAGGGGACACTGAGAGACACATGGGGACACACACTAGGGGACACTGAGAGACACTAGATACACTGAGAGACACATGGGGACACAGACACTAGGGGACACTGGGAGACATGGGGTTACTAGGGGAGACATGGTAACACTGAGACACTAGGGGACACTGAGAGATATTTAGACACTAGGGGACACTGGGAGACATGGGGACACTGGGTGACATGAGGACACTGGGAGAGATACTGCGAGACGGGGAGACTGTGGTAGTAATTCCTCTATACAGCAGAATCAAACTGTAAGTCGTTTTTTGGTGATTTTACAGAATTTTCTCTTATGTCACTCCTTGTGATTTACATCATGTGATGTCACTCATACATAATTAATTAAATTTTTTTCCAAGAAAGGTGGCAACCCTATGCGCCAATCAGCATCTACTCATAGAGATGCATTGAATCAGTGCATCTGTATGAGGAACATTCAGTGTCTCCATGCAGACAGTGAGGACACTGAATGTCATTCACACTGTGCAGCTCTGCCCCAGGAAGCATTTCCAATGGCTGTCTGAGTGACTGCCCCTAGAGGTGTTACTAGGCTGTAATGTTAACCCTAATATACAGAAAAGAGGACTGCGTTATCCCTGGACTAGGGATAACCTCTATCAATAGATGATGAACACATGAACTGTATACCACCACCACTTGCACAATTAAAAATTAAATATATAATAAAAACATTCAATTAAGTTACAATTTAAAAACAATGTATTAATACTGTGTATAAAAAAAATAAAGCTATAAGTAATAGCCTAAATCTAGTGGCACTCTGCTGAAACAAGATCTTAAAGTCCCTTGGCGTCCCGATCCCATTGTTTAAAATGAGGTGTGTATGGTACCATATTCTGCTTGTTTTATGTATGGCTGCTGCAGTTGCTTTGTATCATTGCTTTGTATCATTGGCTTTGTGCGTATGTGGGTTGTTATATTGTATAAGTATATTGTGTATGATGCCTACCAATGTGGGCTGTGTATGGGGGCTGCTTGTGGAATTGTCTTAATGATATGTCACATTGTGTGTTTGGTAGTGTGTGTATGTGTGGGGTTCCTTGCAGTATTGCATGTGAGAGGCTGCTTGTGGGGTTGTGTGTATAGACGATATGTCACATTGTGTGTTTGGTACTGTGTGTATGTGTGGGGCTGCTTGAACTCTATGAATGTCAGTGCTGCACCCAGGAAGCACATCTAGTGGCCGTCTGAGTGATTGCCACTGGAGGTTGTGATAAGGCAGTGTTTACATTAAAAAGAATGCAGGGACTGACTATAGACACACGAACAACTACATTCCGTACATTAAGCTGTATACTGTACTTTAAGCTGTATACTGTACATTAAGCTGTATAATATTATGCTGTATACTGTACATTAATCTGTATACTGTACACATTAGAGTTTGAAAGTCTGACGTATGTACCTTAGGATACACATGCTATTATGGTAGGACCTGTTTTTTTTCTTTAAGCCTTGTTTCTCGGGTATTCCAAAATATATTTGGAATTGCTGTTCAGTGTCATCCCCAAGTTTGGTAGGGCATATTCTCAAAAACCCTTGCAAGTCCATATCTTGAGGCCATAAATCATTCATGTATCTCAGACAATTAATTTGAGATACTTGAATGATTTATGGCCTCTACAGTAAAGGGAAAAAAGTATTTGATCCCCTGTTGATTTTGAACGTTTGTCCACTCACAAAGAAATGATCAGTCTATAATTTTAATGGTCGGTGTATCTCAGCTCGTTACTTGTATAAAAGACACCTGTCCACAGAAGCAATCAACCAGATTCCAAATTCTCCACCATGGCCAAGACAAAAGAGCTATCCAAATATGTCAGGGACAAGATTGTAGAACTACACAAGGCTGGACTGGGCTACAAGACCATTGCCAAGCAGCTTTGTGAGAAGGTGACAACAGTTGGTACGATTATTCGCAAATGGAAGAAACACAAAATAACTGTCAGTCTCCCTCAGTCTGGTGAACCATGCATGATCTCACCTCGTGGAGTTACAATGATCATGAGAACGATGAGGAATCAGCCCACAACTACACGGGAGGATCTTGTCAATGATCTCAGGGCAGCTGGGACCATAGTCACCAAGAAAACAATTGGTAACACACTACGCCGTGAACGACTTAAATCCTGCAGTGCCCGCAAGGTCCCCCTGCCCAAGAAAGCACATGTACAGGCCCGTCTAAAGTTTGCCAATGAACATGTGAATGATTCAGAGGAGAACTTGGTGAAAGTGTTGTGGTCAGACAAGACCAAAATCGAGCTCTTTGGCATCAACTCAACTCGCCATGTTTGGAGGAGGGGGAATGCTGCCTATGACCCCAAGAACACCATCCCCACCATCAAACATGGAGGTGAAAACATTATGCTCTGGGGGTGTTTTTCTGCTAAGGGGACAGGACAACTGCACCGCAGGGGACGATGGGCGGGGCTATGTACTGTCAAATCTTGGGTGAGGACCACCTTCACTCAGCCAGTGTATTGAAAATGGGTCGTGGCTGTGTATTAAAGCATGACAATGACCCAAAACACACAGCCAATGAAACAAAGGAGTGGCTCAAGAAGAAGCACATTAAGGTCCTGGAGTGGCCTAGCCAGTCTCCAGACCTTAATCCTACAGAAAATCTGTGGAAGGAGCTGACGATTCGAGTTGCCAAACGTCTTAAAACCTCAAAACCTTAATGACTTGGAGGGGATCTGCAAAGAGGAGTGGGACAAAATCCCTCCTGAGATGTGGGCAAACCTAGTGGCCAACTACAAGAAACGTCTGACCTCTGTGATCGCCAACAAGGGTTCTGCCACCAAGTATCAAGTCGAAGGGGTCAACAACTTGCTTCATTCATTGACATACAAATCAATTTATAACTTTTTTGACATGCGTTTTTCTGGATTTTTTTTTTTATTCTTCTGTCTCTCACTGTTAAAATACACCTACCATTAAAATTATAGACTGATCATTTCTCTGTCAGTGGGCAAACGTTCAAAATCAGCAGGGGATCAAATACTTTTTCCCTTACTGTAGAAATGGACTAGCAAGGGTTTTTGAGGAATTACACATCCAAACTTGTTAACAACTGTTAATATTGTTTAATATATTCAGCTGTGAGTATTGTCTGTTTATTGATGTCCTCTTACCCAATAAAGAAGTTTTTCTGCCTTTTCGTCCCTAATGCTGGTAAATTTTGCTCACTTCACCTTTTTCTCTGTTTTTATTGCACTTTAAAAGTTACTTTGTGTTATTCATTCAGTCCATCGCTAAGGATTCTGGGTACTTGCTGGCCAATTATCCTGTCAATAGAACTGTTCTGGCAGTTTGAAAGCTGATATTTAATGTCAGGAAACACAACTGT